CACACACACACACACACACACACACACACACACACACACGTATGAAGTGTCATGGGAAAAATTGTTGTTTTGTACAATTAATACTAATTTTCTGCTGAAAATTATAATTTGTTTTCTTCACTTACTGACATAAATGTTTCGCTTTCTTTAGCAAACCATAGGCATGAAATTACCTCACTGAACTTTCTCAAGTTGAAGATCCCTTCATCACATGGATAAACCACCTTGGTCATGGCTCACAGCTGTATCATTTCAGGCTGCTCCTCCTCTAACACTTTGTGAAGGAGAGTGTATCTAAGACAATGATTGAACTCCAGTTCCCTTTTCCTGCTCTCTCTGGTCCTGCTGCTATCAAGGTGATGCTACAACAGAGCTAAGGAAGTGCTGGGAGATGAAAAAGCACTTGTCACAGAGACACAAGACTCTCATTCTGACTCCTGGAACCCACATACAAATATGCCAGTGCTGTGGTTAACACTTGTAATTGAGAACTCATAATTCTCAATTGTGTCAGTGAAGTTCTTTAAAATTTTCTAAATGTATGAATTTACTTGTGGCTGTTCCTTGCCTTGATTATATTACAGCTAGATCATGTGGTTGTTCTGTGTCATTTGATGTTAGCTGGGTATTAGTTTTTGGCTTTTTTGAGACAAATAGCCCCTGCATTCAAATCTTCCTGTCTCAGCTTCCCAAGTACAGGCATGCATTGTTGTTCCCTGCTTAGCTGGTACTATCCTGTGACCTGTATATAGGAGAGTTTAACAAGCTGTCCTTGTAGATTAAGAACATTTCATCAATTCTGAAAATTTCACAGTCAAGGTCTCTGCAAATACTGAGTTCTATTCTTTCTTCCTAGATTTCCTGGAGATGCCACACATCTCCATAGCTGTTTTGCGTTTTCTGCCTCTATCTGCCCTGGGTTGTAGGTCACTTCTTCAATATCCCAGTTCACTGACTGAATCTTTTAACCATTGATTAATTTTGTCCATTATGCTTGAAATGTCAATGATTATTTTTTTTCATTTCTCTGAGGTACTATTGGCTCTTAAAAATCTGTGTTCTCAGCCTCGAGGTGGTGGGGCATATCTTTAATCACAACACTCGGGAGGCAGAGGCAGGTGGATCCATGTGAGTTTGAGGCTAGCCTAGTCTACAAAGCTACACAGAGAAATCCTGTCTTGGAAAAAGTAAAGTGATGGGGAATGCTCTTCTGTATACATGTGAATAAAACACTGATTGGCTGATTGGCCAGACAGGAAGTAATGTAGCTGGGCAGAATCAGGATATAAGCAGGGACAAACAGGAACCCGCTGCTCTCTACTCTGCCAAGACACTTAGCTGTTATCATGTAGCGGCTAAAGGAGTTAGAGGTCCAGACCCTTCTCCGAATAAGACCACATGGAAATACTTAATAGAAATGGGTTAATAATTAAGACAGAGCTAGCCAATAAGAAGCCCAAGGCATTGGCCAATAGTCTCATTAATATCAGTCTCTGTATGCTTATTTGGGGCCGATGAGGCTGTGGGACCAGGCTGGAAGGGAAAGAGTACATGTTACTGAAAAGAACAATGTAAAAATCTGTGTTCTCTTCTTGGGGTGCTATGTCTTTAATGGTTCCAGGCAGACTTTGTTTCTATGTGCTTACTCTATTATGTGACATAGGTGACAAACTGTCCTGCTATTTATTGATCTGTAACTCATGCTGAATTTTTCTTCATGTTTTTAATCTATAGAGTCTATCAGGTCTAGGCTAAAGTCATCCCTCAGGGTAGTCTTTGTTTTACTTCTGCTATATGTCTGGGCACTAAGGACCACTTTTTATATTAACTTCTTGACATGGGAGTCTTAAGCTGATATAGTAATGCCAACTGACGTTTTCTTAGGAGAGAGACTTTGCCTGTCCTTGTCATTCAGAGTTAGACAGTTTTCTTGCTGTCCATCTGTTTGACAGGCACATGGGCATCAGGCACAGACATAGTGCACACATATACATACATGCAGGCACACAAGAGAAGAATAAGATGCATTTTCTTACCTACCTGGCTTTATTCAAGGCTGTAGGTTTTTGAGAGCTCCTGCTTCCTGATATATTTAGAGAGATGCTGTTCAAGGCATCAACTCCTATCATCATGTGGACATACAGTTTACTTAAGAAACACGAGGACTGACAATAAACCTTACCCTCTTACCCTAGGGTTGTCACAGGATCAATGCATATACATAATTGCTCTAATTTTCAAGCTTTCTCTTAATTTTTGATGACATTGTCAATTAATATATACATATATTAAAAATATTCACACACACACACGCACATATATGTATATATAATATATGTAAGCTAACCCAACCATTAGCACTATTGGTGCTTTAAAGCAGAGAATTTTCAAGCAATCTTTCATATTTGCAGTGGAAGCCTACATAAATACATTGCCCACTGAGAATCCTTTTTCAATAATGTAACAGCCAAATCACGGTGACAATTCAGGGATAAGAAAAATTTACATGAATATTCAATGTGGAGAAACCAGATTGATGGAGTAATTTCATAACTACTGACTCTTAAGCAATAAGGACAAACGCATAGATTCTGGACAGAAGTTACTTGTTGCATGTTAATTCAATAGGCATTTGACATTTGCATATTGTTTATGACACAGAGAAAAATAAGATGCAATTTCTTACTCTACAAAAAAAGTTATAAAACAGGTTTCAAAATTTGTCTAAGGGAAGCTACAGAGAAACCCTGTCGCGAAAAACCAAAAAATAAATAAATAAATAAATAAATAAATAAAATCTGTCTAAGGGGCTGAGGTGGTGGTTCAGTGGTTAAGAGCACTTACTGCTCTCAAAAGAACACAGTTTTGGGTTCCAACATCTACATTGTGGTTCACAAACACCTGTAAGTCCAGTTCCAAAGGATATGATGCCCACTCCTGCCCTGCATGGGCATCAGGCACAGACAAGTGCACACCTAGACATACATGCAGGCAAGACACTCAGACATGTAAAATAAAAATAAATCATTAAAAACCTTGTCTAATGGCTTGTTGACATTATTCCTTTTACTATTAGAAGTCTTTCTAAAGCCTAGTATTTATCTGCACATTAAAGTTTGCTGCTTCTGTATTCAAAAGCAAGAAATTGGAACCATCTTGATACTTAGCAACACATAAATACATGGATAATAAAAATGTGGCGCATATACACAATGGAATTTTACTCACCTGTGAAGAAAAATAAAATCTGCAGGAAAATACATGGATTTGAAAATATAATATTGAACAAGGTGACCCAATCTTAGACAAAAATGCAGATTCTCCCTCATGTGTGGTTCAAAGCCTGCACTGTGTGCGCGTGCGTGCGTGCGTGTGCACGTGCATGGGTGTAGAAAGGAGACCAAGAGAGAATAAGTGAAATGAAGAATGAGAAGGTGGTTTACACAGGCAACTCAAGACATCAAAGAATGAAAGAGATCAGCTGTGCAAGAAGTTTACAAAGGACGTTCATAGTCGTAGGCAGCAGGGGAGACAAGGGGGGGAGGAAGAAGCATCTGTGAAAGCATACTTTGTTCAAAAACAAGATAATGATATCGCATACCCCAAGTTATGTTTAGAAACTGAGCATTTATCTGGTGATGGTTGAATTTCTACATGTAACAAGTGAACTCACCTGAGCACAACAGATAAATACAACTGAGATTGTCAGTAAGAAAGCTGATGAAACAATGACATCAACTGATCTCTGAGGACCTCGACGCTAGGGAAAGAAAGGAAAAACACTTTTAAATATATTTACTAAACAACAGACAATTTCCATGTTTTCAGGTAAGGTGTTACAAGTTGGTCATAACTCACAACTTGCCAGATGAATTGTATTGTAAAGTGTTAATAGAATCTTATAATTTGACAACACTGTAAACGTTATGCCTGCACAGCATAAATTCATTAATGTAACTCTTTTTGTTCAACACTATAACCATTTTTTCAACAACTGTTTCTTGGGTATATGCTCAAAACTAAGCACTGTGCTAGGGACTGGAAACACAGCAGAACACAGCTCACCAAACCTCCTCCTTCACAGGACCTGCAGCAGACAGAAACACTGAGCTGTGAAGAACAGGTATACAATGGGTGCTCTGAGGCCAATGGCAGGGATATTAATTCAGATTTGTGGATTAGTTCCAAAGAAACTGGCATTTATATCATCTACAGAACAAGGACAAGACAGCATATTGCACCGTCCTAGGGAAACAAACAAACAAACAAACCCACAAAGCAGGGAGAGTCACAGTGCAGTTACAGAAGTAATGAGAAGGCTGAGAGAAAAATGGTTTCCAGTAAGCCAAAAGAGACAGGGGAGCAAGGCCTACATCACCAACAGCAGCCAAAGCATATTAAGGTAAGAGAGACCTTCCAGAAAGGTGTAAAGAACTGTATGATCAAATCTGTTTTTAAAAGATCTCTCATGGCAGGCTGAAGACAATAAGAGAGAGGGAATGTTAAAGCTGATGAACCAATTGCAAAATGGCTTTCATAGGTCAATGTGGATGACTAATGGCTTCAGTTAGGGTGGTAGGCATGTAAATAAAGGGAGGTGAACAGATTTAAGATGTGTGCTGGGAGCAGAGAGGATGGGGACCAGTGACAGACTGAATGCCAGAAACCAAGAGCGAAGTTGCAAGGATAATTCTAGATCTAACTAAGAATGAATGGAACAGAGTTAACATTAAATGTTTTCTGAACATAAAAGAACATAATACTTGCTTAGGGTTAGGAATACAGGGAGATTTTAAATGGGTTATCACTAAACCAAGCAAGAAAATCACATTCACCTTCCATAAAACATAAACGTAATAGTAAGGGGGGAAATGTCAATTTGTAGCATTTCTAATATACACTGAGTTAAATTTAGCAAGGCAAAGTGATAAACAGAACAATGAAATTTTAAAATGTAAAAGTAAATAATATTTTCTTCTACTTTTTTCATTGTTACTTCAAAATAAAAAGCTTTAAAGATCTAGTTTGGTGGATTCTTAGTTTTTGGAACAACATTATTCTCATGCACTGTTTGTTTGCATAAGCACCCTTGAACATGCCCGAATACTCCATAGATAATGAAACCCACAGCTATTTGCTACAAAAACAGAATCCCTAGGGAAAAAGGTATCCTTAAAATTAACTCAGGTGTTTTCCTCTCCTAGGATTCTAGAGTTTCCACACTTCCCTTCCACAGACAGCAGGACTCTTTAAAAAATAAAGGAAGGAACAGCATGTAGAGACAGAGTGATGCAGAGAGACTAAAAGAGAACGTTTCACTGGCTGGATTCCTCAAGACTGGTTTTTAAGTATATGAGCTCCCTCTGCTGGTTTGTGAAAACTACTCTTGGGAGAAACAAAACCCTCAATCTAGCCTTTGAGTGAGAAATAGTTGACTATACTAAGCCCCCCATACCTACAGACAAGACACTGGAACTATTGGGAAAGACAGTGTGTTAAAAGTGCATCTATTGATAGCACTCTACCTTAAGATAGGAGCGGAGAGATAGCCACATTTTTATATTCTGTACTTTCTTCAACCGGAAATGAGGAACCTCAGACTTCCGAGCTCTCCTTGCAGATGTCAAATGCCCAAAGAGTTTTGCAAAGAGTAATCGCTAAAAAACATTAAGATGAAGATTACTGTACAAAATATTGTATAATTTATAGTTATACAAAATACAAATTTTTATGACTTAATATAAAAGCAAAATAAAAATAATTACACCAGTGTTTCATGGAATACTAAAATACTTAAGGAATACTTGGGAGTGCTATGAAAAGGGTAAATTAATCTTCATATCATACTCACTTGTTTATATGTTCTTTCTGCTACACACAGCAAAAAGAAGAAGATCCATACAAGAGATACTCGAACCACAAAACTTATCAGGACCATAGAAAGAACCATGACATCTTCGTTAGAACCAAATGCAATCACATAAAGTTCTGATGCAGAATGGGCTGTGAGTTGCTCCAAGTCTGTTGCTTGGGACAGTCGGAAAACAAATGGGGTTAAGCCCAGGATCAGGGAGACGGCATTCCCAAATATCTGATATCCTATACCTGGTACATGGTTGTTCACCTTAGGAAGTAGGGGCGGAGGGGAGAAGAAAGTACACATAAATCAAATTTAAAGTAAAATGAATTTCAAACGGAATTTTACTTTTTAAAATAGGATTTAAATTTTTTATTTACTGCATTATGAAATTAGCCAATTATACATTAATTATAAGATCCCTAATTCATAAGTAGATATGAAAGGAAGATCAGCCTTAGACATTGAAAAAATCTATGCATTTTATTATTTTAAAAGTTAGAAATATTTACAAATATTGGAGAGTTGAGATCAACAGTAAATTAAACCCAATTTGTTTAAGAAAAAAAAAATCAGGAGCTAGTGAGATGGTGTAGCAGATAAAGACATCTGTCATCAAGCCTAATCACCTGAGTTCAATCCCTAGGATCCCAGGACAGAAGAGAGAACTGCTTCTGAAAGTGTCCTCTGACCTGCACAAGCACACTGTGACACACACATTCTAGCCCCCTGAACAATAAATGTAATTTGAACAAAAATAAGTCGCTAGTGGTGGTACACGCCTTGAATCCCAGCACTCGGGAGGCAGAGGCAGGTGGATCTCTGTGAGTTGGAGGCCAGTCTGGTCTACAGAGCGAGTGCCAGGACAGGCAGGGGATATACAGAGAAACCCTGTCTCAAACCAACCCCCAGCCAAAGAAAAGAAAAGAAAAAAGTAATTATTCAATAAATCTTTGACTTGTATTTTTCTTCTGAATTCAGTATGTAAATAAATGCCTCCTTAATAGCATTTAATGAGACAGAAAATGAGAGAAAAGAAATTAAACAGGAGGAGAAAAGGTAAGGAAAATATGTCTTTAATATGCTAGACTGGTAAAGTGAATTGTCACAGAGCCTTTAATCTCCTACACTCAGTAGTCAGACTGAGTTATCTCACAGCTCACAGATTAGAGCACCTCTAGTTTTAAGTCCCCAAGTTCCCTGGTGACTGGTTTTAGTCACAATGACAACAGTGATGTGGAAGCTGCCAATCTCTAGATGCAGTTATCTGAATTCTTGCCCTACACAAAGAAACAACAAAAGTCCTATTAAAATAATGTATGGCAGCAATTAAAGAAAGAATTCAATGGAAATGGAAACAAATACCAAATCCATAGTATTTGTACCAAACTCCAACCACTGGAGAGTTTGACCACCGGCTGCATTAGTCTTTATGTCTAAGTAAGCACACACAGACAGATTTCTTGAGTTTTAGATGCTGATACACGCACACACGCACGCACGCACGCACGCAAACACACTTACCCATTGAAGGAAGAAGAAAAAACTTTACATTGTGGCATCTATTCCAAGTCATCAGAAGTGCTAAAGGCCAGAGCAGGGGCCATGAGATGACACTGTGAGTAAAGCCACTTGCTCCCTAAGCCGGGTGCTGTCAGTTTGACCCCTCAGAACACATGTACTGACAGAAGAAAAGAACAGCCTCCACAAGCTGCCCTCCGTCCTCCACAACAAAGTTGTGACACATGCAAACCACATCCCACTTCCCCTTCAAATCACTGTTTAAGGGGGGGCCAAAAGGAAGAAAAATAACTTTTCCAGATTGAAGAAAAGGGATGTGAACAGGTTATTAATATTTGGGTAATCAATTTATATACTGATAGCCAAATACAAATGAAGAACTTACTCTGTTCATGATCATTCCACTGATTTCAAGCACAGACATGTCTGCTTTCTTACAATCATTGCCTTCCCATACTATAGCACTGATTTTTTCTAATCCTGGGTGGGAACTATGAAGCCAGGGCAAATGACTCTACAAAAAAGGAATATGAGACACATTTATCACATTTTATAAATGGAACACATTTATCTGTACAATAGCCATATCTATGCACATACAATTTAGCTACATTAAAACCTCAATTTAAAATTACTTATACATTAAACAGATACATAAAAATTGCCATAAAAATGCAGAACTTTAACAAATATCCTATCATTTAAATACACAACAGAATATGTTAGCAAAAGTACTTAAGCTGTCAACCAATCTATCTAAGGCTAAAAAACCATAACTGGCAAGCTGTATGCTGACTGTAGTTCACCTTACGATCATTCGGTACAAAATAGGACAGCTGAGATCTTTGGAAAACTGCATCATTTAATCTCATCCTAGAAGAGATTCTTCCTCATTTATTTTATCAAGTGGTCTAGTTACTTTTGCAGTATTTGAAAACAGCATTTATTTCTGGAGAGGCTCAATAAAGCCTTTTTTTTCAGATAAGGCAAACATTCAAAGGAGAAACATAAGTAATTACAAGTATTCTCTGAAATACAGTATCTCTCAATGTTTCACAAAACAGTAAGACTTTAGTATGAAGTGTCAAATGTTTAAGTTTGGGGTTTGTTTTGGATATACATTAAAGCAGTGAAATTAGAACACAGGACAGTTGGGCTTCAGGTAGCAACAAAAGCAATGACCACTTTCAGGGTAGCATGCAACACTACAAAAAATAACCCTAAGACACAGATGGATAGGAACAACCTGTTTACATTATAGTATCTCAAACTCACTTCTCTCAAGGATTGATATATTTCCCACATTTCATATAAATGATATGTTTGGCATTCACAGTAACCTGAGGGATACAATCAATATATTGTTGACACTGTAATATTCCAAAAATATTTCCATAAATTTAAGAAATACAATTTTTTGTACAAGGGGGATAAAGGTGCACCAATAAACTTCAACTGAAGTCTAAAAAGTCAGTAATATATAAAAAACAAGAGTTAAATTTTTATCATTTCTAAATAGTTTCATGGTCTTTATACATTTCACTACTTGAGGGGCTAACAAGCATTAAAATATTATTGTTAACTGTCAACTTACTTAAAGTGATGTTTCATAACTTGTTGACAAACAATATATGCCAGTTTAAAATAGAAATAATTTTGTTGTCAAAATATGCATCAAATCTTCTCTGAAAATACAATTCTGAAATACACTAGAATCAAAAAATTCCAGAAAGGAGCTAGAGATTTTGCTTACAGGCAGAGTGCTGGCTAGTATGCAGTGCATGGGGTCTTGAAGGCAGGGGCGGGCTTTGGGACATAAAATATGTAGAAAGTGGAGTGACAATTTGAACACAGAGGTGTCCAGAGGTGACCCCAGATCCTGTCAGACTGACAACCAACCAGCACAGGATGGGAAGTCTGAAAGGCAACAGGTTAGCCAAGTAATAACAGGTTTCTTCTTAAGTCTCACGTGTAACAGAAATTACAGGGCTGCTCAATGACACTAAGACTATGTATTAGTGCAATGGAGGTCAGTCTGGAGACAGAAGAAACCAATTTCTTTGCTGTTATCAAAGCATTTCTTTGCAGTTACTTTTGCAAACATTTGACTTCACTTTCTTACAGCTAAAAGGCAAGAGAGAGGACGGTCATTAGAACTGGTCGATTCAGAGTTAATCAAAAGAACTCTGCACCTCTCGATGTAGATGTGTTTTTTTGTCTGAAAAACAGTCTTATTTAAACATAAACAGCATATAGAGAGCATTGTCATATGAGATCCTATCCTAAAGGGCTCAGTAGAAACGAAAGAGCAAGTAATACAGTTTCTAGCTTCATCGTCCGGCATTGCAGCATGGCATGGCCTCAAAAGTTGCACTGAGTAGCATTCGCAGCTATCATGGGTCACTAGTAGCCTGTGTAGGTTGGACAGATGAAGACCTTAGGTTTTCAAGTTGAAGTTTGAAATTCTTTTTCATTATTATTTCATTCCAGATCTCCAGTGCTTTGCTTTTATCTTCATTCAAAATGAAAACCTTAAATTGCAATGATGTTATGTTTTATTTCAAATAAATTCACTAAGACAACTGCTTTGCTTGTGTTTCAAGTAAGGGAACATGGCCATTAAAATCTAGTTATACCTACTGGAAATAATATCACTTGAATATTTCACTATACACCCAGCCATAATTAGCAGAGAAAATTTTTCTTCTAGAAAAGGTTTGTTACTATTTACAAATATAACAAAACTTAGTATTGGTGATATTCTGACAAGAACATGCCATCCAAATGCTGTTTCGTCCCAAGGAGATTTTCCATTTTGATGGTACACAGAAAATGGTCTTGCAAACCAAACACAGACCCACAGCCAGACAACCAAACAATCTGGTAATTTTTTCATAAAGGAAGCTAATTTCTATTGCTTGACAACTATTAAGGCTGAAAATTATGAGTCTTCTGGAAGCCTGAAATGTAAAATTGTGTAGAAAAAAAAGAGCCTTAATCCCAAACCAATATAAATTAGTATAAGATAGATATCACTTAGATATTCAGAGTAGAGGTTTTTATTTTTTTTTAATCTCACAAAAAAACAAAAGGATGAATCAAACAGGACCAAATTATTAAAAAATTTCATAAGTAACTTTGAAAAGTCCTACATGCTATTTTTTTAATGTGTTTTCATTCAGGTATTCACCCAGCTAGTTTACTAAAGATATACTCTGTACCAAGAAGTAAGTGATACAACATCATGAGAGAAATCACACAGCCCATGTGTCTGCACTGTTTATGGAATCACAGGGAAAACAGTTCACAGGCATTTCTCTCTCTCCTTACCAATCATCATGTAGTCTCTGGGGTATTCAGATCCAGGGACCCTTAGCTATTCCCATGGCCACACTATCGTTGCTTCATCTCTGAAATGAGTCAGCATTAGCAACCTCCAACCTGACCAGGTAGGTCTCTGAATCCTTCAACTTTGAAGCATGTGTCCTCTTAAACGTAATTATCCTTTCCTGGCCAAGCTGCCATCAGGATTTCTACAGGAACATTATTTCAGGCATCCCTTCTTCGTTCTTTTTCCTCCTTAGTAGCCCCAAGTCTCCTGGGTCTCAGAAAACAGAAGCCACCAGGATTTTCATTGCCTTGCCCATTCTATGCACACATACCCCCCTTTCTGCTACCCCGGAGCTTGTGTTTATCCCTGCCAACAACTGGGAATAACCTTTTATAACTCTTTTGCTCTCTCCCTATTAACTTCCCCGTGCCCATAAATGTGCTCAGTATCTTATATCTTAAAAAGCACCCTTTCCCCTATTAATTTCTTATCTCAGCTACTCCACCCCCTGCACTTTCTATGCTGTGCTTCTTACCACTCAGACTCCAGGCAGCTCAGGGAAAGTGGCTTTCTTTCCCCTGTCATTTTGCAACAGGCTTGAAGCCAAAACCAATGGGTATGTTCTTAAAGTGAAACAGTTTCATTCAGCTACCCAGGGAGTTGACTTTACCTAATTTACCTTTCTTCTCAATTTGCTGAGGTGAAACATTCCAGGTAAACTCAGAAACTATTCTGTATAGTTCTCTAGTTAATCACCAAGTCCCAAAAGTCTAAAGTTCATGCTTATTATTCCCTTGCATGTTTTTATATCCCAAGTGAATGCTTTAATTCACGAATACTCTGTTTTGAATGCTTTAAAGTTTTATATAAATAGTACTACATAGTTCTTCAAATTGCTTTCACTACAAAAAAATCCAAATTTATACTTCAATTTATAATTGAAAATTTATATTCAGCAAGCTTGCTCATGTTGACATGTGGTTAGGTTTAATTTCATTGCTATAAGCTGCTTTATAACAAGGTCTGGTCTACGAGCTTTACTACTGTTTGTTGTGCTGCCCATCACTGCAACAAAATACCCTGGAAAAAGCACCTCAGGGGAGCAAGGGCTCGTTCTGGCTCAGAGTTTGGTTGCAGTGCAGTCCATTATGGCAGGAAAGACGAACTCTAGGAGTATGCTGCCTGCAACACCAATGAGGAAGCAGAAAAGAAGAAAATGCCAATTCTAAGATGGCTTTGTCTTTGCTTTGCTTTCAGTGTGGGATCTTAGGTCAGAAGATGGCACCACCTATGTTTAGGATGGCTCTTCCCTCCTCAGATCAATGTCCACCCCAACACACCCAAGGTGTGTCTTCTAGGGGATTCTGAATCCAGCTAGGTTGACAATGAAGAATCATCACAGCTACTCCCCCTCATGCCAGGGTTTCTCTGTGTAGCCCAGGCTGTTCTGAAGCTCACTCTATAGACCAGGCTAGCCTGGAACTCACACAGATCCATCTACCTCAGCCTCTGAGTGCTGCTTGGCCTCTTAAACTTTTTGAAATCTGATCAGTATGAAATAGTGATTACTCTAAATTTCACTTGCCTGACAGCTAACCAAACTAGCCATATTAACATACTACTCATCAGATACCTCTTTAGATCCTTTGATTTTTCTACTGAGTCCTCTCCTCTTCCTTCTCTTTCCCCTCTCTCCTCCTTCCCCTTCTCTCTCTGTCTCCCTTTTTTGAGACAGTATCTCTCCAGGTAACTGGCTGGCCTGCAATTGTCTTTGTAGACCAGGCTGGTATCCAACCCAGCGAGGCACTTGCCTAAGCCACTGGAGAAAGTGCTAGTGTTAAGGCATGCACCACCACAGCCTGCACCATTTGTTTTTTGAACTAGTCCTCTATAGTAGTTCTTTCTCTCTGCACAGCAATACTTTGACAGCTAAGATGTTACAAACATCTTCTGAGGACTATCTTTTAATAGTAATTATGGCTTAATTTGCAAGTCAAAGTTTCATAAATTAAGATATTCAAAGTACCCCATTTTGTTTTTGCATATGCTTTGGACATCTTGTTTGTGAAAACTCTGGCGAACTGAAATAATGAAGATGACTATTTTATCTTCCTTCTAAATGTTTTAGACTTTTCCCCTTTACACTTAGCAACTATGTGCAATAAATTTCAATGTGTCAATGATTTTATGGGGTTATCTTTTCCTCTTTGAGTATTAATTCTATCTATGCCATACATTAGGGATCCATAAGAGCACAAATCTACTTCCAGATTTTTCTATCCTACTCTCAATTTAAACATTTAATCTGTAAGGAAAATCCATCTATTGTTATTTAAAACTGTTTTGTTTGTTTTGGTTTTTCAAGACAGAATGTGTCTGTCTAACAGCCCTGGCTTCTGTTATGTGTTAAAGGCCTGGTTGGTCTGGAAATTGGATACCCATCTGCCTCCCAAGGGCTGGGTTTAAAAACGTGGGCCAAGGGTACAAATGTCCTCAGGTTTCAGCGGTGGGAAGGGCAAGAGCCTGAATGGGATGCCCTCTAGTGGAGGCGAGGCTGAGTTCTTAGTGGAGCTTGCCAGAAGCTCCAGCCCAGCAGGTGATGTGTGCACCTTGGTGCTGCAGTTTAAGTGGTGTGATAAGAAGCAGGTAGGGCGCCTGTATTAAATAGATATATACTCCATGTATGGCCACTTTAAGGAGAGCAAAACCCAGGGACCAAGTACATAGTCTAGGTTTTACAGGTTTTACTCCAAGCTTTCTCGAAAGCCAACTTGTACTGTTGAATTTAAATCTCTTTAATTGGCAAATTATACTTACACCCCTTGTTTTCAGGACATGTCAGCTGAATAAAGTTGAGGTTTATTTAGAAAACTTTTAAAAAGCAAAAAACAAAACAAAACAAAACAAAAGTACACCAAGATGCCCAACATTTTTTGCTATTTTTAACATTTCATTCTTTAACCAGTGCAGATCCAACCAAAACCTGGCAGACAAATGAACAAAAAGGCTGTCACAATAAAAGTAAAAGCAGGATAACGGACACTTTTACATGGTACCTGCTTTTAAGAAAAATATATCCTAAAATCGGGCTCAGAGCTTGCTATCTACAGTGCAAGGATACAGAAAGGGGAGATTTTACCAAGAAAGTGACCATGCTGACACCCTAATCTGGGTCCACCAGTTACCAGAACTGTACAAAGAGTATTGGGTAAGCCATCCAGACTGTAGAACTATGTCACAGCTGAAGGTTCTTTGGTACCACTCTTAATCAGACTAACAAAATTGTCTTCTGTCTCTAGTTTTTATGAATTTACTTGTTCTTGTTGACAACATTTGATAAGAAGTTGGCTAAGAGAAAAAAGTATATAAAAGGTTGAGGATCTGTCTTAATGTACGGGGGAGCTGTACATAGGAGTGAGCACACGTGCACTCGAGTACAAACACACACACACACACACACACACACACACACACACACACACACACACACACACACACCTACCTGTAGAGGTCAGACATCAACCTTGGGTGTTACTCCTCAGGTGCCATCGATCTTATTTTGAGATAACGGGTCTCTTGCTTGCTGTGAGCTTGCCCAGCAGGCTAGGCTGGCGGGAGTCACTTGTCACTGCATCCCCAGTGCACCACCACACCCTGCCCTTTCTGCCTTTTTAAAGACCTTTTTAAAGGTTCTGAGGTTCAAACTCAGGTCCCCATGCTAGTGTGGGGTAACCACTGCACTGCACTGCCCAGGGTAAGGACTTTTAAATGGCCATCAGGTTTCTGGACTGGGGAGTGACAGTTGGAGATGCCATTTACCAAGATTCTGAGTCCAGCAAGAGAAGGGTTATAAAGGAAGATAGGGCACTGACGGGAATTAAAAGGATTTGACACAATAGCACTTTTCAGCATCTTAAGTGGGATTAATCCAAAATGAGATGTACACTAAGGGGTCAGAATAAAGTTTTAGGCTTAATATAAAAATGTCATCTATACCATTTCTATTTTCACAATACTTATATAGTAAGGAATAATATGTTGAATATATTTGGCAAAATAATGCATATTGGAATTTTACTTTTTTAAACTGTTTTTATTGAGGCTAGTAGAAAATGTAAACTTACATGAGTATATTTCTATTGGATAATGTGACTATGGGTGCTTAGTAATACAAATTTGATACTCACAAGAGACAGATTTTGAGTCATTATATTAAAGGCAGAATTTGGGCCAAGGTGTACACGAATCTAAATAGCATGGCACAACTAGTGCATCTAAAATAGACTGACCCACGAAACTCCATCTATTATTTCAGGAACATACGTGTGAAAGATGAGACACCCAAGTATAACATGAACACCAAGACACTGTATTCTAATGAAGCCAGACCACAGGCCACACAAAAAAACACTGCCTTATGAGGGTCAATTTAATGGAATGTAACCCTCCTGTCACCTCTGTAAGATTTGTATAGACATTCATCAAAGGAGCTTGTCTGATAGCCCCATGTGATCCAACACTGTAAACTAACCTGGTGAAAGGGGTCGTCTCTATATTCTTTTTTCACACATGGGTTAACCTGAGGATTTCCCACGTCTGTCTCACTGGTACAGGATGAATGGCATTCTGCACAATGTAACAAGTCTTCCCATAAGACATCTTCCGTCTCGGATTCTGGCCTTGTGCTCTCAGAATCCTGTCTGGAACTTGAACATCGAGAGCTGCAACTAGTACCCGATTTAGGGGCATCCTGAAATCAAGATATTCTTTGACATTAATACAATTTGGTACCCTTCCCAACTCAAAGGATTTTATCAGAACCATACATTTCTACTTGTCCTAAAACAACAGACACACTGTCACAGGGCGGTGGAAAAGGCAGCAAAGCACTGTAGCTGCAGAGTACAGGATGGCTGATGTGAGACACCAGGGGGTCACCATCCACAGGCTGAGAACCTGTTTTAAAGGTTTGCTCTCTCATGCCCTTTAAAGTTGGTGGTTTCTAAGGTCAAATTTGGAGGAGCTGAACACAACTGTTTAAACATCATTTATTTTAAAGTCTTTATAAATGAATCTAAGATTTCAGTTTAATTTGAAATGTTTTAAAGCAATATTTATTTTAAAACCTAAGGAAAAAAACCTTTCTGCTCCTCAAGAATTCCAATAGTAAAGATTACAGGAACAAGAATCACGCTGACGTCATAACTGATCATGTAGGAGAGGCATCAAACAGTTCTCTACCTTCCTTCCAGCACCAAGGAGCTTCTCATACACAAAGAAAGACTCTCATTTCCTAGGCTTGGTTGTTTGCTTTAAAAGCAGGCTGTGGATGACAAGGCAATGAGATAGTGTACTAGCCTCCGTACCTGTCTAATGCAGGCCTTGAGTGGAAAAAGACAACCAAAGCCCAAGCAGACACTGAGAGGACTGTGTAAAAGGAACTCTCCTAGCAGCCTGGAACTACGTGTTCTGCCCAAGCATAACACTTGATTTTTTTTTTTTTCATAAGTTTACCTTAAAATCATCCAGAAAAAAAAATTTGTATAATTTGAAAAGACTACAAGGTAATACGTAACACCAGGGTAGATCTTTGGAGCCAGGCAATGAAACTTCTTGCTGTGGAATAATCCCCTTGAACACTGTAAAGAACTGTTACTCAAACTGGTTTAATAAAATGCTGGTTGGCCAGTAGCCAGGCAGGCAGTATAGGTGGGCGACCACGCTAAGGATGATGGGAAGGAGAAGGGCAGAGTCAGGAGACACCGGCCAGACGCAGAAAGAACAAAATGGGCACACTGTACTAAGAAAAGCTACCACCACACGGCACAGTGTAAACAAGGAATATGGATTAATGTAAAAATCTAAGAGCTAGCTGGTAATAAGCCTGAAGTACTGGCAGAGCATTTATAAGTAATATTAAGCCTCTGAGTCAATTAATTAATATTAAGCTGCCAGACAGACATTTGGGAATGGGCGGGCAGAAAATATCCGATTACAATTTCTTGTCCACAGAAAGTAAACATTAAATGGAATGAAATTATTTTCTATATAGTGTTAAGCTCTAGAGATGTCAGAAAGTTGAGGGAAGATTTGAGAAAAACAATAAATAATTAAATTTTTAAAAAAGAAAAAAATGGAATCAGAAAAATTACTGACTATTGTAGTATGGGGAAATTAATAACTGGCAATAGCAACATGAAAGAAATTACTTCACTACAGTGAACTGTGAAAACACTGACACAGGCGTTAGTAGACAGTCCCAGCTGGCCAGGTACTTGGCAGCAAGCCTGACAATACCTTGACAACCTGAGATAGATTCCAGAAACTCAATTGGTGGGAAGATGAACAAGGGCACCCCTCCCCCCAAAGCAGTAAACAAGTCAATGAAACAACAGTAAACAATCCCCTATATGGAGCTTCACACAAAAATGAGTGTGCATGGACAGCTATTGCTCATGCTACACTAACCAACAAGCCTGTAAAACAAAGCTGGGTATGGTGGCGCGCTCGCCTTTAATCCCAGTACTCGGGAGGCAGAGGCAGGCGGATCTGAACTGGAGCCAGTCTTGTCGAAGTAACAAGCTCCAGGACAGTCAATAGACTTACAGTGAGACCCTGTCTCCAAAAAAAAAAAAAACAAAAACAAAAACAAAAACAAAAACAAAAAGATTGTAAAACCAATACATGTTTATAATGGTGGGAAATATTTCAATGGTAACACTCAGTTACTGAAGCAATAAAACAGTATATGTGCATTTATGTAAGGTCAAACTGTATACCTCATTTGCATAATGCTTTTTATAATGGTGTGGCTTTCTATTTCGAAGACTGCTTTCAGAAGTTCTGTCCCCATGACAGCGCAATGAGTATCCCGTCTCAGGGTCGTCCTCACTGGACACTTCATCAGAGACATTTGTTATCTTTCTTTGGGCATCCTAGGTGGGGAGTCGACAAAGAACTGTAAGTAACTTTTCAGTGATCGCTGAGCTTTAAGATGGCAATGCATAAAAAACGATACAAATATACATATATACCTTCAAAATATCTTCAGATACTAAGAAACCATTAAGTCTACCTAATTTTCTGAAAAATTGTCATGCTAGCAATTAAACTCTGCAATATACACTTTCCTTTTAAAAGCAATTCAAGTAATTTATCAAATATTATTCTATTACATTTTGTTCAGAAAAGGATTTGAAATACCTTACAGAAATAATAAATACGAATGAGACACAAATACAACCAAGGCCATTTGAAAGAAACTGAAAGACCTGAGGAAAAAAATTATAATATTTAATCAAGCTAAATGCTCATCAATTATAACAGCCATCTCTGAGTTAATACAAGTTACAGGGGAGCAAGAAAAGAGCAGCCAGATACACTATATATGACCAACTGTGAGAGACAGCCACACTTGAGATGGTAGTATGTACCTGAAAATGTATCTGGAAATTGTGTGAGTGGTATGACACATGTTATGTTCATATTATCAGACAGCTAACACTTTAGTAATAAAAAATTACAGCCAAACTCAATTACACACTCATAATGACTCACAACTGATACTACAAAACATAAATACATTCACTTAAAAAAAAAAACTCAGAAAATCTTCTCATCTCTATCAACAAAAGATGCCCATGCTCATATTCCGAAATGCAACATCTTTTAATTTGACCACATTTTAAAAACTTAGTACACAGGTCTCCTTACCAGATTTCATAAACCTTAGTTTTGGTGATAGCCTCCCTCTCCATTGCTCCAGTTAGCTCTCTGCTCTACTCTCTGCTCATACCTTTCCACAAGCAATATTCCTCTCCACTTTCACACAGCACATTAAGTATCTTACCCCTCCCCCCTTAAAAGTCTTTTTTGTTTCTCCTCTCATACAGCACTTCCTAACTAGAGTCGCTCCTACATAAGCTTACAGACATACAAATTAGAAGCTAGGCTCCACATGAGGGTAAATGCAGCATTTATCTTTTTGAGCCTGGGTTACCTCATTTAAAACATTTCCAATTCCACCCATTTTCCTGCAGATTCATTTTTCTTCACAGAGGAATAAAACTCCATAGTGTATATGCACCACATTCTCATTATTCACTCATCTGTTGATAGACAGCACGAGTACATCCATTTCCATGTGATTATAAACAGCAATTAAACAGGGATGAGCAGGTAGGATGGAGTCCTTTTGGCATGTGCTCAGGAGTAGCACACCTAGGTCTGAGAAGCTCCCACACTGATTTTCATAGCAGTTGCCCAGTCTATATATACTCTCACCAGAAGGGAGCAAGGGCTCTCTGTCCCCACATCCTCATTAGCACCTGTTGCCATTTCCTTTCTTGACACCCACTGCTGAATGGCAATAAAGATGTTTTTTTTAATTAATTAATTTTACATCTGGACCACAGTTTTCCCTTCCTCCTCTCCCCCCCATTCCTTGCCTCCCTGCCTCCTCCTCCATTTCTGTACAGAGAGGGGCAGGCCTCCCATGACATCAACAAAGCATGGCACACCAAGTTACTGTAGGACTAAGCACCTCCCCTTAAGCTGACAAGGCACCTTAATATGAGAAATAGGTTCTCGAAAGCCAGCCAAAGCATTAGGGACAGCCCCTGTTCCCATGAGAAGACCAAGCTACACAACACAACTGTCACATGTGTGCAGAGGGCCTAGGTCTGTCCCATGTAGGGTCCCTGGTTGTCAGTTCAGTCTCTGTGAGCTCTTATGAGCCAGGTTAGTTGTTTCTGTGGGTTTTCCTCTGGCTCCTACAGACCATCCTCCCTCACTTCAGGGTTCCTGGAGCTCTGCCTAATATTTGGTTGTTTTTAAAGTGCCCATAGCAGCTGTGGATGGTATATAATTTTAGTATATTTATTGCTATTTCTATATCTTCTTTTGAGGACTTTCTATTCATTTCCTTGGCCCACAGACTGACTGGTACTTTGGTTTTGTTTCTATGGAGTGGGGCATATTTTTACAATTCTCTATACACTCCAGATAGTAACCTATCATCTGAAGTCTAGCTGGCCAAGATTTTTCCTACTCGAGAACTTCTCTGTTCTCTGCTTCTGCTGTGCATGAGCTTTTTAATTACATGCGCTGTTGGAATCCAGACGTTCTTGCCTATACCTATATCCTCAAGTATTTTCCCCAGACGTTCTTGCCTATACCTATATCCTCAAGTATTTTCCCCTGATAGTTTCAGTTCTGCATGCTTTAAATTCTTAGATGCATTTTGAACTGACTTGTTTTTGGGTGGGGGTGGGGGTTCTGAGACAGGGTTTATTGATGAAGCCTACTGTCCTGGAACTTGCTTTGGAGACCAGGCTGGCCTCAAATGTGGAAATCTACCTGGCTCACCACCACTGTCCAGCTGGACTGACTTCTGAGCAGGGTGAAAGATACAAATCAAATTTCATTCTTCTGAGGGTGGATATCCAGTTTTGCCAAAAGTATTTGCTGAAAGGGCTGTTTTCCAATGCTGTTTCTGACAGCTTTGTCAGAAATGAGGCCTCCAGGGTGGGTGAGATGGCTCTACAGTTAAGAGCACTTGCTGCTCTTGCAGAAGAGCCAGGTTCATCTTCCAGCACCCTCATGGTAGCTCACAACATCTGTAACTCTAGTTAATTCCAGAGAGTCTGACGCCTTCTCCTGACCTCTGAGGGCATGAGGCACACAAATGGTGCACATACATACATGTATACATACATGTATACGTACATGCATATGCATGTACATATGCATGTACATATACATATATGCATGTACGTATGCATGTACATATGCATCTATATGTGTATGTATACATGCATGTATACATACATAAATACATACAGGCAAATTATACACATAAAGTAAAATATAAATTGTACACATATAGTAAAATTGAAATTTTTAAAAATTTTAACGAGGTATCTACAGCTGTGTGGGCTTATTTCTAGGTTTTCTATTATGTTCTCTTCGTCTACATGTCTTATTTCTAGGTCTTCTATTATAATTCCCTTGGTCTACATGTCTTTATTTCTAGTCTTCTATTAGGTTCCCTTGGTCTACATGTCATTTTGTGGAAGCAGCATGCTGCTTTTTCACTATGGCTGTATGTTACATTATGAGGCCAGGTAGGTAACATGATGCCTCTGGCAGTATTCTTTTGCTTAGGATTGCTTTAGCTATCCATAGTCTTTTGCATTTCCCTACAAATTTTAGGATCCCCTCCACCCAGTTCTATGAAGAATTTCCCAGAATTTTAATGAGGACTGCATTAAATATAGATTATTTTGGTAGTCTAGCCATTTTCACAGTATTTATTGTTGTCAATTCAGGAGCATAGAAGGTCTTTCCACTGCAAAGTGTCTTCTTCAGTTTCTTTTTATGGTTTCTTAAGTTTTCACTGTAGAAACTATCTTCGATGGGATATTCTTTCTCAGCAAGTTTGTTGGTACTGTATATAAAAGCTACTGAGTTCTGTATGTTAATTGTTTACCAGATCTAAAGGTTTTTTGATTGGAGTCCATGGTGTCTTTTAAATATGGACTCATGCCATCTGCAAATAGGGATAAATTTAACTTTTCCTTTCCAATTCTATCCCTTTTTTACAGCTTTCTCTTGTCTTATTACTGGAGCTAAGATGTGAAGCACTATAGTGAATAACAGTGGAGTGGGGACCCTTGTCTCATTCCAGTAACATGCTTCAAAAAACTACAATGCCTGAACTCCATGCAGAACCCTGAAAGATCCTGAGGAATAATCTCGAATGAAAAGAACAGAGGCTTTTCACAAAAGCCTAAGTTCTAGTAGCATACACTAGAACCACTGTAGCCTCAACTAATTACTGATAGACAAGTGGATCATTGTTCAGTCCATAAATACAACAGAGAAGAAAAAGAAACAACTGGAAATAAGTCAGACACAGAAAGACTCATACTGTATATCATTACACAGACAGACGGAGGGGGGAGAGGGAATCTACTAAAATAGTAGTTACCACCACCAGGGGGATGAACAGACCATGGTATAGGAACACAGAGGTACAAATGGATAGGGGGAATAACTTAGTTTCTGAAATTATGGCTGACAAACTATTGTACATGTCAAAATAGAAAGTGACAAGAATTTTTCAATGTTCCCAACATGATAAACATCTGTAGTTAATGGGCTAACTACTTTCTTCCGATAGATATAAGTTAATTATATGTACAATATACTCTATAAAAAAAAAGACTACTGAATCAACCAAAAAATGTTATAGTAAAGAAATGTCTTGAGATTATATATAAACTATACAGATGCATAAAACCAAAAGTCATTAGTGTAGAGAAAATAAGGAATTTTCTTACAGGTATCTTTCTTTGTGCCTAGTTCAGCTTTTAGAACAACTGAGGGCTTCAGCTTAGTATATGTCCTTTCACACACGTGAAAATAAGGAAGAGAAGGTAAGGTTAACAAACACTGACCATAAATTCCAAGTTGCTTCAACATTCCAGAAAAATCAAGCCAAACAATTCAGAACACACCAGGTTCTACTTCCAATCACGTTTAACCACATCTACTTGATTTTTAATGTCATCACTACTATTTATAAAGTTCACAGAATTAATTGCAGAGAAAACATTTGACTTGAGAGTGATTGTTCTACTGGAATCACTTCATCTTAGTGGATATGAAATCAAACAAACTGTAAAAGTGACACTGACTTTGGCAGGGACATTCCTTGGCATTGGAGTGGCCCAGGCTATGTCTTCTGGTCGAATGGTTTCACACTGAGGCTCAAGGTCTTGGGGTCCATCTTCACCGCTTTTTACAGTCTTTTTCCCATCGAGGGACACATAGCCATTGTCGGTCTCAGTTGACTTATCAATTGAATTCTTTGCTTTCTTTGACCTATAAACAAAACATATAGAAATATTATGTGTGCTTAGCAGCTTGTTCTGGATGGCTTGCTAGAAATTAAAATCTGGTACTAATTACATAAAGCAGTATTTTTCAGAATTTTAATGGTTACCCATATTTTTTAATAGTAAATGATAAATAGTAGCAAATAAAATAACCATTCAACTTAAAATCCTCATTCAGTTGATGGTAGGATCTGCGGTCTTACAAACAGCAATTCACAAAGAAAACTCCTAATTTACCAAATAATTCTTAGCCTGTTATTTGGACAATGTATAGAATGAAAATTTTGCCCAATTTGTTAGTGTTAATGTGTTTTAACTTTTATTTTTAAAAGATTATCTTTGTAAATTCATCAGGTAAGTTATAACTAGTGACTTAATATTATCCCAAATATTTTACCTATAGTTCTTTGTTAAGTTCCTTTTAATGCACAACACAAACACAGACCTAACTTAATCAATAAGGTTAAAAATCTGGCAGAAGTAAAAAAGGAGAACATAAAACAAAGAAGTAACCTCTTTCACACACTAACTTATAAACTACAATACTTTTTAACAAGCAAATGTTTTATGAGTCTTAAAAGATTACAATAGGTGAAAATAGCTACCAATAGAAACCTTTAGTAGAAATGTTAGTCCCACAAAAAATAAATTATGCTCCATGTAGATTAAGTCTATCAAAAATACAATTTAAAAGGAATTTTACTTAAATTACCCCCTTGGAACAATGTGAACAACTGACCTTATACATTTCCCAAGAACTAATTGTATGAAATTACTTGTTAAAACTCACTTTGAAGGTATACCTGAAATACAGACGAGGTCACCCTTCACAAAGGCACTGGTAGCATCCCCCTCCATCCTAGGACACTCTTTATACTGACAGCACTGTTGGGGTGGATTGTGTCTAATTCACCTCTATGAGGCCATCAGCCTGACAATGCCTAGTCAGACTAGTACTTAATAAATATCTTTTATTAAGAAATACAATCAGCTATTTGATGAGCTTGATTTTTAAATAGAAAAAAAATCTATGCATAAAAATGCATACTGTCACCGTTATGGCCAAGGTTCATAGTCCAACGTCTTTAATTTCTGGATGGTGAGACAACTGTAGAATTTTCTACAATGCACTATGTTTGGTACTTAAGATGACGAAGTCCTGTGTCAAAGCTACTTGGTGGGAAAAGAACCTTAAAAATACACTAGTTTAACATCCTTACTTCCTTTGGGAAATGAGTGATTATACTACAAATAAATCATAAAACTATTAAATTTTTCATATTGAAAACATTAGCCCACAAGTTGGTACAACTTTTAAAGAACTTTCTCCAAAGACCATCCTAGTGTAAAATCTCATGAGTTAGCTAACTATGCCACCAACAGTCTTAACAATCTAGGATACACAGACAAGCAAACTCTTTTATTCTTGTCTGTAGAAGACAGCTGAATACCTGCTTTACTACAACTACAACTATATTCAGCAAAGGCCAAATTTTAATACTTGCACTGAAATTTTCTGGTGGAACTAAGTTACATTATGCAGTATATTTAATTCCATAAATAAAATCAATGATTAAATCTTTAACACTCACTTTAGTGTTATAAACATACACACTCAGCCCTGCAGTGCTAGATCTCTAAGCCAGCTCCCTACCCACATTCCAAGAGCTTTACCACTAAGCAACACTACCAGCCCTAGAGAGAAGCCTAAAAGTAGATCAAACCTCATCTCACTAGACACTAAAAAAAGCCTTCGACAAAACTCAACAACTGTTCATTATAAAGGTCTTGGAAAGAATAGGGATGCAAGGAACATACCTAAATATAATAAAGGCAATATACAGTACCCAACAGCCAACATCAAACTAAATGGAGAGAAAATCAAAGTGATGCCACTGAAATCAGGAACAAGACAAGGCTGTTCCTGATTTCTCTCTTCCTATCTATTCCTATCTTCCTATCTATTCAATATAGTACTTGATGCTCTATAGCTAGAGCAATAAGACAACAAAAGGATATCAAGGGGATACAAATTGGGAAGGAAGAAGTCAAACTTTCACTATTTGCAGATGATATGATAGTTTACATAAGTGACCCAGAAAAACTCTACAGGGAACTCCTATAGCTGATAAACGCCTTCAGTAAAGTGGCAGGATACAAGATTAACTAAAAAGAAAAAAGAAAAAATCAGTACCCCTACTATACACAGAAGATAAATGGGCTGAGAAAGAATTCGGAGAAACATCACCCTTTACAATAGCCACAAACAACATAAAATATCTTGAGGTAACACTAACCAAGCAAGTGAAAGACCTGCATAGCAAGAACTTTGAGTCTTTAAAGACAGAAATGAAAGAAGATACTAGAAAATGGAAAGATCTCCCATGCTCTTGGATAGGTAGGATCAATGTAGTAAAAATGGCAATCTTGCCAAAAGCAGTCTACAGAGTCAATGCAATCCCCATCAAAATCCCAACACAATTCTTCACAGACCTTGAAAGAACAATTCTTAACTTTATATGGAAAAAAAACAAAAGACCCAGGATAGCCAAAACAACCCTGTACAATAGAGGAACTTCTGGAGGCATCACCATCCCTGACTTGAAGCTATACTATAGAACTATAGTAATGAACACAGCTTGGTATTGGCATAAAAATAGACAGGTAGACCAATGGAATCGAATTGAAGACCCTGATATCAACCCACATACCTACAAACACCGAATTTGTTGGTACTGTATATAAAAGCTACTGAGTTCTGTGTGTTAATTGTTTACCAGATCTAAAGGTTTTCTGGTTGGAGTCCATGGTGTCTTTTAAATATGGACTCATGCCATCTGCAAATAGGGATAAATTTAACTTTTCCTTTCCAATTCTAATCCCTTTTATAGCTTTCTCTTGTCTTACTATTGCAGCTAAGAATCTAAAAATATAAAATGGAAAAAAGAAAGCATATTCAACAAATGGTTCTGGTATGACTGGGTAGAAGAATGCAAATAGATCCATATCTATCGCTATGCACAAAACTCAAGTCGAAATGAATCAAAGACCTCAATATAAATCCATCCACACTAAACCTCACAGAAGAGAAAGTGGGAAATACATTTGAGCATAGGTACAGGAGACCACTTCCTAAATAGAACACCACTACCTTCCTAATAGCACAGACACTGAGACTGACAATAAATGGGACCTCCTGAAAGTGAGAAGCTTCTGTAAAACAAACCACACAGTCAATAAGACAAAACGGCTCCCTACACAATGGGAAAGATTTTCACCAACCCCACATATGACAGAGGGATAATCTCTAAAATATATAAGGAAATCAAGAAACTACACAACAAATTACAAAAAAATCCTATTAAAAAATGGGGTACAGACCTAAACAGAGAATTCTCAACAGAACAAACTCAAATGGTGGGAAGACACTTAAGGAATTGTTCAACATCCTTAGTCATCAGGGATATGCAAATCAAAGCAACTCTGAGATTCCATCTTGTACCAATCAGAATAGCTAAGATCAAAAACACCAATGACAGCTTATGCTAGAGAGGGTATGGAGAAATAGGAACACTCCTCCACTGCTGGTGGGAGTGCAAAGTTGTACAGTCACTGTGCGATCAACCTACCTCAGGACCCTGAATTACCACTTTTGAGCATATACCCAAAAGGAGGCACATTCACAACCACAAGGACATTTGCTCAACTATGTTCATAGCAACATTATTTGTAATAGCCAGATCTTAGAAACAACCTAGAGGTCCCTCAACTGAAGAATGGATAAAGAAAATGTGGTATATTTACACAATAGAGTACTACTCAACAGTAAGAAACAATGGCATCCTAAAATTCACAGGCAAAAGGACAGAACTAGAAAAAAGCATCCTGAGTGAGATAACCCACACACAAAAAGACAAATATAGTATATACTCATTCATAAGTGGGTACCAGACATAAAGCAAAAAATAACCAGCCTACAATCTGCAACCGCAGAGAAGCCAGAACCCTCTTCCAGAAACAAGGATTTCAGAATTCAACACAGGACTTCTAAAATTAACGTTTCTTCTAGGACCTGTTTGTCATATGCTGGGAGACAGTGGCAAGTGCTTCATGTTTTAAGTAGAGTTGTAACAACTAAACAGAGTTAATCCTTACGGAGTTGGACACTATACTATCAATGACCAGCTATTCTAGCCATTTTCATGCTATGGACCAACAGAAGGAAGACTGAAGTCTAGGACTCACTGGAGTAGAAAAACAAGGTAAATGCTAAAAAAAAAATCTAAATGCTGTCTACAACATAACAATATCAACTATAGAGATCAAAACAACTAAAAGATTCCCTGAGAACTAAATATATCTACTTTGCTATTTTTATAATTGCTCATCTGAAAGTCTTGAGAAATACTTAAGAAACCAACTTTACAACAATTAAACTTTTGCATCTCATGAATGAACATGTTAAAATAGAAAAACAAATGAGAGAGATGAGAATAGAGTCCAAATTAAAAACATAAAAACAAACCCCTCTCTTAGGAACAAGTATCATGTTACTGCTGACTATCAAAATTATCTAGGAAATCATTCCTAAAAAATTATGAACAGCAAAATAAGCATAGAATACATTTGCTTAACACATGATAAGCTTGATCATAAAAGCACAAATACAAACTCATGAAAAATGTGAAGTAGTTAGCAAAGTTATTGTCTTAAAAACAAAAGTTATTTGCATTATCTCTTTTCTTGATTTATTAATCTAATACCTCCAAGTACTTCCACAGCCTTTTAACTAGTTTTCTAACTTATGCTATGCCATGTGTAAACCAGTATCATAACTCTCAACTATTTGAAGTACATATTCAAAGTATTAATAATATAATACTGAGCTAGGTTTAATTTACTTTTGAGTTTGTCTATTTGGTCAATACTCATTGATGGTACAGAGGATATAAAAACCCAGTAAACAAATGAACTTAGACTGTAGGATATAGTTATTTACTCAACTCACAGCGCTTATTTCAGATAATCTTAGGAAACTGGGGTAGATGTAAAGCAAAAAGTAATGCAAGCTACATGGTGTATTGAAGCAAATTCTGACCTATAATACTGATAAACAAGAAACTAATTAACAGAGTAAAATAATATTTGAGAAAAGTTTTTTAAAAAGTCAAATCTTAGCCAGGTGTTAGTGGCACACAACTTTAATCCCAGCACTCGGGAGGCAGAGACAGGTGGATCTCTGTGAGTTCAAGGCCAGCCTGATCTACAGAGCAAGTTCCAGGACAGGCTCCAAAGCTACACAGAGAAACCCTCGAAAAAGAAAAACAAAAACAAGTCAATTCTTTAAAAAGAAAGAAAGAGAAGAAAAGGAAAGAGAGCAATGTGTTTCAATGCATTTAGCTGGGCAGTGGACATGCACACATTTGATCCCATCACTCGGGAGACAGAGGCAGGCAGATCTCTGTGAGTTCAAAGACAGCCTGGCCTACAGAACAAGTTCCAGGACAGCCAGGTGACACAGAGAGACACTGTTTCATGGGGGGTGCGGTAGGGGTGGGGGGTGTAATCTTCACTACACTTTGCTAGTGTTTACTAGCAAATGTATTTACATATAATCCCAAATAAACTTGATCCTATTTCTCCTTAAACTGTAGCACTCTGATTTGTCAAAATGTGTGACGAGTCAATAGCATTCACTATTTAAAATTAGAGCATCTTTATGCCATATAAAGTCTTGAATAAATACAAACCCTGATAAAAAGAAAGCAGCATTCCAGAGATCTCTGAAGACTGTGCCAACACTGTAGGAGGTGCCTGCACCGTGGCTCTGGACCGCTCCCTCCTGGGTGTTGTCTGTGGTACTGGACCCATCTCCTTCCCTATGAACTTCCAAATGAGCTGCTTTTCTTAATTTCCTTCATCAGAGAAGATTGAGAGCGGAAGGCAGTTTAAGACTTTAACAACCAGTTTCTCTGTAGCACATTCCAAAAATTGACAGAACAAACACAAGAGCTTCTTCATACACACTGAAACTCAAATGTGCTGGACAGAATTTAAACCACATATCATGGTGATATGTCAAGTATTCCCATAAAGCCCAGGGCCTTGCTCCTTGCTCATACTGGCAGTCAGTGTACACACTATTACGTAAGTCATTTTACCTAATGTGGATGTTGCCTTTCAAAAAGGGGATAGACTTAAATCTCAACACTGCTAAACTCCGAATATCACAATGTCTCAGCAATAATATTCAAAAGAAGTATTGTCCCAAAGTCTATTTAACACAGAACTGCACTGTGCTCAGGAGCCAATGGCAAGACTTGCTATATTTACTCGTCAGTAGGCACTATCAAATTCAAATAACATGTAATAAACAGCCCCCCCACCCCTGCTCTATTTTTGCCAAAGAATCTTAGAAACACAAGATCTTTCTAAGTAGTAGAATTTAATTTATTCCACCTAACATCTGTTTCCTATATTGGTACCGCTCACTAGAAACGAACCTCAATAAAAACAAACTAACAAAGATGACTACCCAAGAACAAACCCCAAGACATGTGACATAGCAGTGGCCTTGTAAACACATACAGAAAACTGATCATCTGGTAGCTGGCTCTGGAGTTTGGGTTTTATCTGAAAGAGCACCCTTGTAAAGTAGCATCGTAATCTATAAAGTTAAGAGCAGTTAAGATCAATCCCAAGGGCTAGAGAGGAGTTCATTGGTTAAAAGTGCTTGCTGCTCTTAAAAAGGACCTAGGTTCAGTTCCCAGCACCCTCATCCAGCAGGTCCCAGTCACCTGCAAGTCCACCTCCAGAGGATTTGATGCCTTTCTAGTCTCTGTGGGCACCTGCATACATGGGCAGGCACACAGACATACACACACACACATGCATGCACGAACACAAATAAAATTCAATGTCTAAATAACAGGTAATCTACAAAGATCAATTTTGACAAGCAGTACCTTCTTCTTTTACCACCTGTGCTTAGAGGAGGTTTGGGTGTTCTTGTTGAAACAATCTGGCAATGCACAGTCCCCAAGAGCAGCATCAGCCATATTGGCCCAATCACTTCAGTTAGAGGTATGCTATGTGGGCTAGGAGCGGAACAGAATAATACTATTGCAGCAACTATAAATGGAGAAAGAAGATACATTTAATTATAGATCTGTAGTCACTTTTTCAAAACTTTAAAAATTGTTCTTATAATACTTCTTACTGATGGGCGTTGGTGTCGCATGTCTTTAATCCTAGCACTCAGGAGTCAGAGGCAGGTGGATCTTTGTGAGTTCGAGGCCAGCCTGGTCTCCAGAGAGTGCCAGGATAGGCTCCAAAGCTACACAGAGAAACTCTGTCTCGGAAAAAAAACAAAAAAAAACAAAAAAAAAACTTCTTATTAAATTCTTTTCCTAAAATTTAAAATGTTACTCCATGTTGCCAGGTGTGGTAGGTAGTGCACACCTTTAAACCCAGCACTCAGGAGCCAGAGGCAGGCTGATCTCTGTGAGTTTAAGGACAGGCTGTCTACATAGTAAGTTTCAGGTCAGCAGGGAAACACAGTGATATAATACACACCACCACCACCACCATTACTCCACACAAGCTCTTCAGACTATTAGTGTTTGCCACTATCCAACCACAGCATTTAGTGACATACTTTTGGAACAAGATAACACTCAACACCAAAACATATACACTCAACTTTGTAATGAAGATTGTATGAATTCAAATCTAGGGTCACTTTTGGTTAGGTCACAATATAAAAAAACACACTAATCTCATTTATTCTGTTACACATAATAAGAAGTCTTTTAGTAAGTGTCTAATGAGGCCATAAGAGGCTTGTTCGTACTCAAGACAGGGCCAGCCAGAAACCAAACAGACAAGGATGACCTTGGCCTTCTAAGTCTCCTGCCTCTGCTCTCTGAAAGGTGGGACCACAGGGATGCACAAGTGTTCCCAGTTTACATGGTGCTGAGATCCAACCCAGGGCTTTGTGTGTGCTGGCTTCTACCACCCAATCTACATGTCCAGCCACAATGCTTACGATTTTAAACACAAATAGACCTGTACATACTTCCCTCATCAATGTTAGGCATTACAACACACACAAGAAAGTTCGTTTTTCCTTCTTACATTCCTTATACTTCCTAGACATAAAACCTTTACAGGCTTTTGTCCTGAAACAGGTTTATTTCTTCTACTTCACACACACATGTAATTGTTTATTGCCACAATATTAGTAACTCTGGGGCTAAGAATTTACTTTTTTTTTTAAAGATATTACATTCTTGGGCAAATGTCATGATGTGTATAATTTAACAAAATAAAGTGAATATTTCTTTCAACAGAAATATTTTTCTTAAGCAAAATCCTAAGATTTAGGGCTAGAGAGATGGTCAGCAGTTAACAGCACTTACTATTCCATGCAAAAGACCACAGCTGATTCCCAGCACCCACATGGACACCTACAACCATTTGCAACTCCAGTTCTAGGGAGCCAACGCCCTCTTCTGGCCTCTACGGCACCAGGCATGCGTGTGTGCACATACATACAAGCAAAACGTTCATATACATAAACTAAATTGGAAGACCTAACTAAGACTGGATGAGATTTTAGAAATGTCATAAAATGCATTTTCACAGAAACACTCTGTGATAGAGTGCAGTGAGGTAAGACAACAGGTCGGTGGCCATGGAATCAGAATGCTTAGATCTGAACTCTTGGCCAGAGAAGTGAGGTCTGAGAGCCTCAGGTTTTTCAAGTGCCAAGTCTATGTAGCTAGACATCATAACAGTCTTACTACGCTATTGGGTTATTGCAGACATTAAATAGGAATCTGAGAAAGACTTAAAGAGACTTCATGGTAAAAAGAAAAGAGCTCTGATATAAAATAAGGATAGGCCAGATCACACTGGTAAGAGGCACAGAAAAATAAAACCATATATTATGCAATAAAAATTAATTTGCAGAAGTAATATTAATAATAAATACTGGGATGTGCAGGCATGATACTCTCCAGCGACAATCTTAAACTCAGGAAGCTAAATTCACAGCTCAAGGTCAGCATCAGCTACACAAAGACAATTATGTATCTATGTGTGAGTACAAACATTTTCATCTAATTAAAATCTGTCTCTGTCTCTGTCTGTCTGTCTGTCTGTCCGTCTCTCTCCCTCTCCTACTCCTTATACAGAGTGTATGTGGGGTCAGAGGACAACTTTTGGTCATTGGTTCTCTCCCTCTGACATGCCACCAAACAGAAACCAGACTGTCAGAGTTGGCAACAAGCCCCATGGTCTGCTGGGCCATTTCAACAGTCCTCAAACGTTTTAATATCTAAGCAGTTTATATGTAACAGCAATAGTCACTACATGCACAGGAACAGTTGGTGTATGTTGAGAGCAAAGCTTTTTTGTCTTTTTAGTTTTAAAGATTTATTTATTTATTATGTTTACAACATTCTACCTCCATGTAAGCCTGCATGCCAGTAGAGGGCACCATATCTCATACGAGATGGTTGTGAGCCACCATGCAGTTGCTGGTATTGAACTCAGGACCTCTGGAAGAGCAGCCAGTGCTTTTAACCTCCGAGCCATCTCTCCAGCCCCAGAGCAAAGCTTTAATAATCGTAAAAATACAACATCCTGAAAGTTAAAAGCACATACATTTCTGTTAATTATACCTTGAAGGAGATAGAGGACAAGAAGCCAGGAAAAGATGACCTTCGATGTTACTTGTAACCACCACCGAAAGAAAAAGGGAAAAAACACAACACGAACAATTCCTTTTCTAGTCAGAGAAGTCCAAGGACTTTCAGGCTTTGCCTTAGCAAATGCAGACCCTGAGGAAAAAAAAAGTAAAATAAATGGCAGACTCTACCTACTATTCTTTAATTTCACTACAGAAATAAATTCTTTTTTTTTTTTTTTGGTTTTTCCAGCCAGGGTTTCTCTGAGTCTTTGGAGGCTGTCCTGGAATTAGCTCTTGTAGACCAGGCTGGTCTCAAACTCACAGAGATCTGCCTGCCTCTGCCTCCTGAGTGCTGGGATTAAAGGCGTGTGCCAGCAACGCCCAGCAAACATTTCATTTATTTATTTATTTATTTATTTATTTATTTATTTATTTATTTATTTATTGGTTTTTTGAGACAGGGTTTCTCTGTGGCTTTTGGAG